CGCCCCGCCGCTGCTTTTCTAACTCAGGATAGTGGGGGGAAGCGAGGGGCGCCACCACTCTCGCTCGGCGCGAGAGGGCGGGCCATTCCGAATTCCCCTTTAGGTCAATCGCGGTTATCTCTCAAAGCTATTTCCAGAGTTATATGCTGCCCTATTGACATCCGCTGAGCGATAAGCGCGAGCCAAAGCGAATCCTCGCGCAATTGTATCGTCAGTTTACTCAGAGGAAAAAAGGGCTGTTGACTGTTGTATATTCTTTATTGTTTAAAAAAATATAATCTTAATAACAAAAAAAAGGTCCTTTTCACGGCTGTATCTTGTAATGCCCCCACGGTGTGTGTCGTACGAGTCGGGAACGACGTATCGCTTGTCGTCGTACGGGCTGAGAGCGAGTTTCAACTCGGACACGGTGTGTACCTCGTGTGCAGTCGAACGAATACACGACTGACGCCTAAACTGCCCTATCGCGTCGTTCAGACAACACACGTAATCGTCGAACGTTATCGTTCTCGCGACCACGTTTCTCTTGATGCCCTTTATTTTCTTCGTGTCGCTCTTTTCCTCGACCCTCAAGGCGTACATTTTTGACCTCAGTCCAACGAATTCCGTCATCACCGCGCCGTCGTTCTCGTCCTTCATCAAACCGGGTATCTTCTTGTTGACGCGCGGCATGCGATACTTGTTGTCCTTGGGATATTCGCTTGTGTCGAATCTCGCGATGTCGCGTTTCATATCCTCGTACGCGTCGTCGCACTCGAGAAAATATATGAGACTGTCGGTGTCCGTGTACATTATCTTACACCTTTCGCGATGCAGCGGCACCATGTAATCGTAATGAAAATCGTAGACGCGCGTCTTGGATATCTCGAGAATGCACATACCGACGTAGATGGGTTTGTACAACCTCACCTCGAGCCTGCGCAACTCGACGGCGATCAGATTCTCCGCGAAGACGGTTCGACTGTGAAAATTCGGTTTCGCGATTATCGCCTCCGCGCCGTATCTCCCATCTCAACGCGTCACGAGACGCACGTCTACGTGATCTCGTACGTTTTCCATGGTCTTGCCGAATACCGCATTGTTCATTAATTTGTACATTTCTTTCTCGAAATCGTTGCTGGCGCGAGCTCTGAATCCCGTATTAAGCTCTATGTATCCCCGAAGCCACGGAAATTGCGCGAATCGAAGCGCGCGGTGAATCTTCGTGACGCACAATCCGTATCGCACGCATTGCTGTAGATTACGGTAATGCAGCACGTAGCGCGATTTATCGCGCAGAGTGGCGAGGAGTTTATCGCACCGTTTTCCGGGAGACTTATCGCGCGTCGGGCAGAACGGAAGGTCAGCGTGAGCGTCGTGGAATTTATGCGGGTACGCAAGGTCGACCTCCAAGATGTAACCGATAGCGGAGTCCAACTTCACGGACATTACGTCGAGACTCTCCGCGTCGTCGACCCATTGAAAGTCCGCGTACGGCAACGGTTCGCACATCGCCCAACCGTACAGATTGTTCACGTCGAAGTACATGAGATACGTCGACGGTTGCGAAGAGTCGTGCGATCGCATATATTTGTTGTTGGCTCGCGCGTACCTGTTGGGGCATTGACTCAGACCGCCGCGGATACCGCGCTCCACGAACATTACCATGTCAATATCGGTGAGCAATTCGAATCGCACCCCCGTGTACTTCAGCATCGCGTCCCACGTGTATCCTGGTAGAGTGTAGTAATGCGCGGGATCCAGTCCGTAAGTGTCGATACAGGTGTCGCGAAAATTTTCGAAGATATCCGCTAGGAGAAGCACGTCCGTTTTGAGATACAGATCGCTGTACTCACCGAGATTTCTCACGCGAAAACAACCCCAGACGTTCCGCGCGTGCTCGTAATCGCTCTCGCTCGCGGTCTCGCCGGTCAACGAACTGTAAAAGTCCTCGCGCGGCGGTAATTCCGTCACCAGCAACTTATCGAAGCCGTCGACGTACTCGTACGGAAATACACCTTTACGTGTGAGCAGGTCGAAATCGCTTTCGCTTAGTTCTGAAAATTCCGAACGCATGATTTTCAGCTTGTCCTTATCGAGATACGACGCCAATTTCTCGAGACTGGTGCTGAGAAATTTAAACGAATCCACGAATCGCAATTTCGCGCAGTTTCCCCAGTTAACGCCTTCCCTTACATACTTCGTGAACAATATGTACAACTCTTTGGTGAGCGGTAATAAATCGATTCTACCCTCGAAGCTGTTGGCGATATCTTTGATAATAAAGTGGGCATCGTAACCGGACAGACTGTGAAAGAACACAGGAATAACGTACGAGTCTCTATAATTTAGGTTGCAACGCGGATGCGCGGGACCTCTGTAACGTCCGGTCAAGTGGCAGTGATTGCGCACGCGTTGACCGTCCTCCGATTTGAACGGTCTCTCGCATATGTGGCAGCTCGTCGCGCTCCAAAAATTTCGTGTCTCGTCCAACGTGAGCTCCGCCATGGTCACGTTCGTCATGAGTATCTCCTTCGCGCAATGCGCGATAACGTTGAGCTCGTTGACGAACCACGACACGCAGTCCTCGCCGCGACGAAATCTGTACCCGGGTCCAATCTCGTCGTACGGGCTGCACAGGTAGTATCCCACGCTAAACGCTCTGTGATGCTGATATGTGTATCTCTTGACGTTATCGTTGTCTATCTTTTCTTTCTCCAACACGCATTCCAGATCGGCGTAGACCACGAAGGGAAGTCGCTCCTTTCTACTGTGATCGCGAAAAAACAACCATTTGTCGTCGTCGTTCGGAAGAACGATGACGCAGTCGTTCATCTTTCCGCAATCGACGCTGTGAGCGGACAATTTCTCTCTCGAGTGAAAGTAGTGTAAGCATCTGAAAATAAAATATGTACAATTTTTTTTTATTCCACATACATTGCACTCTTTTTTTATACCTACCGATCGCATATGTACTTCATGTTCTTGCTCCTGTTTAATTGAGACCCCAACAATCGCGACAGATTCTTTATACACGCGAAATGACCGCCGTTCGAGTTGTTTCGTGAATCTGACAGATACAACAGATTGACATGTCTGTCCTTATCGTTGGTCAGCTGTAAAGGAACGATCTCGTCGTTGCGTCCCTTCCGCCAAGTGGTGAAAACGTTGACGGATATGTCGTTGAGTCGTTCGAACCTCGAAATTTGCCTCAGAGTCATAGGAAACTCGATCCCTTCCAAATTCAGCACCGTCGCGTAATAGGGATACGACCCGCATCGATCCACGTTCCGCAGAGCGGGATACAAAGCGGAGATTACCGCCCACGCGAAACACGCGTTGTCGTATGAATGCACGTTGATCACCGCTTTCTTTACCTTTATCCATTGCGGTATTTCAAACCAACATCCGGCGTGCATGGGATTGCACTTGTTCACGTTCACGATCAGGTTCAATATACGCGACAATGCCCAACCACTGTCGCGTTCCTGAAACTCATCCAGACCCGCCAGAGTGGCATCGATCACGTATCTGTCGTACCATTCTCGCAAATCAGCCGTAGGAAAGAGCTGACGATTTCCCGTGACGACGCTTTTCACGTCGGTTTTAACCCCCGCGACGAATTCGCCATTGAAAACTGTGTTGACCTTCAGGCACGCGTGTCTCTCGTG